ATCTGATTTTTGATCTCTTGTGTGGAAAAATTTTGGGGTTTTGAGGAAATTTATAGAGTAGAAAGTAGGTATTGGGTTTGGGCTTAATAAATAGGTAGGCTTTAGTTATGAAGTATTTGACCCACAAGGGTTCAAATAAAAGAATTGGGCTTACTTAAATGAAATGGGTTGGTCCACAAGGAGTATGTAAGGATTGTTTACATACTATTATTTAAATGGGCCCAACAATTAATAAACGTTTAGCCCAAAATAAATTATAATTTTATAAAACTCAATAATTTAAAATACTTTAGCCCTTAAAAATATATTATAATTAATTAAATAATTTATAAAATACATAAAAATACGGAGTATTACAATTCTACAAGGTAGAAACTTGAGTTTTGTAATCAGCAATGACAAAAGACAACAAAGAGTAGGTGTAAGGTGTGTTAAGAGTTGCGCATTTAGATTGTATTCATTATGGGATTCTAGAAGAGCTACTTTTGTAGTTAAAACGGTCAAGATTGAGCACAATTGCAATAGAGATATGGAGAGAAATAAACAACAAAAGAGCACTTGGTTGGCAGAGCAATTCCTATAAGTTTTTAAAGCTCAACCACACTGGCCAGCTAAAGAAATTATAGAGACTGTGAGGAGAGCATACAAGATGAATGTGAAAAAGGACTTTGCTTACAAAGTCAAATATTATGCTCACAGACTTTTGCATAGGTCTATGAAAGACCATTATGCTAAACTAGGAAGGTACTTAGAAGCTTTGAGATTATCTAGCCCTGGAACTGAATTGGACTTGGTACCTAATCCTGATAGCAACTGCTTCCTCCCAATTTTTCAAAGACTATTTATGTGTTTTGAGGGTTTGCAGAAAGGCTGGAAACAAGGGTGTAGGAAAATAATATGCATTGATGCTTGTTTTTAAAGACATTTCTGGGCGGTCAGTTGTTAGTGGTTGTAGGGAGAGATGGTAATGACCAGATGTATCCTATAGCATGGGCTATAGTTGAAGGAGAAAATAATCTTTCATGGTTCTGGTTCATGATACATCTTCAGAAATGTTTGGATCTTGGTGATGGAACAGATGTTGCTATAGTCTTAGATGAACATTAAGTAAAAAACTTCTCCTAAACTTACTTACTACATGTTCTTTATAGCTACTTTATATCCTTAAACATATTTGACAACAGATAATGATGTGGTGATTGATTTGTATTGTTTGGCTTCAGGCTATATTGTCCTCAGTTGCTTCTATTCTTCCTATGGCTGAACATAGGCATTTTGCAAGGCACATTTATGCCCTACGGCATAAAGCCTTTAAAGGGGATGAGATGAAACTACTGTTCTGGAAGATTGCAAAGGCATATAACCTTGCAGACTACAATTACGCCCTTGATGAATTAGCAACAATGAATGAGGATGCTGCAACTGCATTCAAGAGTTACAACCCCAAGTGTTTTTGTCGAGCATTTATGTCTACATCCATGAAAGTTGATGTGATCACTAACAACCTAGCTGAAACCTTTAATGGTTACATAGTGAATGCAAGGACCAAACACTTGATCTATATGCTAGAAGACATAAGTACCACTACAATTGTCCCAGAATACAAGCAAGACAACAAAAGCTGCACACTGCGATGTTCTTCCTTCAAGGGATAATTTGTTTGAAGTCAACTTTTTCTTTGATAAGCTGATCGTTGATTTAGATGCCAAGATTTGCACTTGCCAGGAAGTGGGATTTGACATGAATCCCTTGTTGTCATGCAATCTCTGCCATTTTTTTTCCTTGCATAAGAAAGCAGAGGATTTTGTGGATTCTTGTTACACAAAAGAAGTGTACTTGAATGCATATGCTGGTTCCATCCCCCCTCGTGAAGGTGAAAGACACTGGCCTAGGGTGGAAGTTCACATAGACCCCGCACCCATCAAAGTTGGTCAAGGAAGACCAAGAAAAAATCGAAGAAAAGATCCACATAAAAAGCCCAAAGAAGCTTGGAAAACTAACTAAACATGGCATAGAGATGACATGTAGCACTTGCCAGAGCAAAGGACATAATAAGAGAAAATGTTCTAATAAGGACACAACTCCAGCTCAAGATAATCCACCTAAAAGACCTAAAGGGAGGCTAAGAAAAGATGGAGAATTACCACAACCCATGCCTTCCCAAACTGATATGCAAGATGCTCACTTGAATGCTACTGCTGAACCTAGTAGATTAGGGACATGTGGTAGAGTTATTAGAGGTGGCAGGGGTGGAAGAGGTGGATCTAGGGGGGGAATTACTCAGGGTAGGGGTGGAAGTACTCAAGGCAGGGGTGGAAGTACTCAAGGCAGGGGAGGAAGTCAGACTAGGGGAGGTAGAAGTGGTTGTAGGGGTGGAAGAAACAGGGGGAGGAATCAAGTAAGTATCAAGTAACTTGGGTTACAAAAAAAATAAAAAATAAATAAAAATGTCTATCACTAACTGATTTTTTCAGGTACCTATTGGAGTAGGTGTTTATACAGCAGCTGATGGATCATCATACTATAATGTAGGCTATATTTATTTAAAGTCCCTTATTTTAGTGTCTTAAGTTCCATTAATATAAGCTAATAAATTCCCAAAATTTGAAGCCAACTGGAATGCAAGCAAGTCAGAGCTCAGTGAATGCATCTTCAAGTCCTTAACATCACCAGATTAGAGATTTTGCTAGTTTATATTGCTATGGCAATTATATGTATTTGACGATTGCCTTTTTTTGTAGACAATGGCTTTGTATTTGATGCATGTTTTCTTTGTATCAAATTATATTGAATGACTACGGAACAATTACGCTAAATATCAGTAATTTAGACAATTTTCTAAATATATGATAATAATTTTCATTTCAAACATTCATCATTCAATTACATAAGATTCATATTTATAAAATTATAAGCATTACATAATCATAACTACATAATCACTGTTACAACCAATTTCATCAAGTACATAATTGCAAAAAAAATAAAAATAAAAACCACGAAGCAATGAGACCCATGGAATTTCTACCACCTTTATGCCTAGATAAAGTACCAGACATGACAGATTTTTGTTTGCCACTAGACATTTGAACTCCCAAATTTTTGCTTGCTACTTTTTTTTTTTTTTTTTTAATTAGAGAGGAATTTGAAGAGAAGAGATGAATTGATGGAGCAAAAATTCGAAGAACAACATAGGGGAAAGGAAATAAGGAAGGGTAGCTTTTTAAACGGGCAAAAAAATATAAAAGAATCCAACCCAAATGCCACGTCAGCAAGTTATCGGGTGTAACAGGTCATAAGTGTAGAGGGTCCAATTAAAACTGATGGGCTTTGAAGTTGGGATTAGTATGAGTTAATTGAAAGGTGGGACTAATATGAGCAGACCACTAAAAGGTGGGATTATTTATGTCAATTTTTTCTTTTTTTTTTTCCCTCATTTTTCTCAATTTATTTTACTATAGTTGTTTTTTAACTGTAATTTTACCAGAAAAAAAGGGAAATTATTTCTCAATGAGTCAATATTGATTAAAAAAACACAAAAATCAGTCAATTCATAGCCTCAATTGACGAGTATAACACTATTTAATTTTAATTTAATACTCCTTTGTTTTTTTTATAATTAGAGTTGGATGTGCACATTTGCAAAAACACAACTTTGATCAATAATATCTTTAATTAGAGGTTAGTAAAAATTATGAAAAAAAATAATTTATAAAAGTAGACATTATGACAAATCCAACAACATATTATATTATCATATTTATATATTATATATTGGTTAAAAAAATTAAGTCAATGATGACCTACGCATAGTGGAATTTTCCAACTCTAGCTTATAAAAAAAAACGGAGGGAGTACTTTGTATATATAAGTGAGATCATATAAGAATTTAAGGCTAATGAGAATAAGGAATCAATTTAAACCCTTAGATCATCGTAGGTGTTTCCCGTGTTCATTTAAGACATTTTAGTATTTTAATTTTTCAAACTATTTTTCAGTTTATTTACTTTTAACAATCAGGTCGACAATATAATTACACCATCCTGAGATTGTGCTGTTAATGTGATGAACAATTTTGTTGCTTTAATATGAGAAGTTGTGTTGAAGTTTTAAATCAGAGGGTTTTAGAAGGTTTATGAGTTTGGAGGGGTTTTTGAGTCGACTCGGTTTAAGAATCATGACCAGCTAGTTAAAGGGAGGCTGACAATTTTTTTTCTAGTTTTTCTCAATTTATTTTACTACATTTGTTTTTTTAACTATATTTTTTTACCAAGAAAAGGGGAAATCATTTCTCAATAAGTCAATATTGATTAAAAAAAAAAGAAAAAAAAAAGTCAATTTATAACTTTAACTGACAAGTATAATACTATTTACTTAATTACTTTTAATATATTACTCTGTATATATAATTGAGATCATATGAGAATTTAAGGCTAAAATGAGAATAAGGAATCAATTTAAACTCTTACGTCATCATAGGTTTTTTTCCGTGTTCATTTAAGACATTTTAGTATTTTAATTTTTCAAACTATTTTCCAGTTTATTTACTTTTAAAGCAATTCCATTAACCTTTTGATTGATTTCATTTATTTTTACTGATTTTTTATTTACAATTTATAGCTAAAAATTGGAAATCACTTTGTAAAGTTAAAATATTACCTTTCGATTGTAGTATTTCCTTATACAATGATTTATTTATTTTTAAAGCTGATCTGAAATCATAAATCCTCATCTCTACTAAGTTTAGTAGCTGGCCTTCTATCTATATTCAACATATATTACTAAACCTTAGGGTGCAAGATGTCGTTTCCCATGTGTCACTTCAAATGAAAAGTTCCAAACGAAACAAACATAAAGAAACAGATGGAATATGTTACATAGTATGATCAGAAACATATGCTCATAAAATAACAAGAAATCTAACCCTTTATATAAAGATTAGTTTACTAAAGGTCATTTGTTCAATCACAAGTTCAGACACCAGTTTTTCTAGATCACAGTAGTAGGAAATGTATAGTTTAACCACAATGCAGGAGTATGTATGGCCTTCTGTAAAATTGTGGGCCAAAAGTTTACAAAATAGTTTTCAGATTATGAGAGCTCATGTTTGCCTTTGGTATATAGATTTTAGCTTACATATTACAATGTTTGCCTTTGGTATATAAATTCCAGCTTACAAATTACAACAACCGTGACAAGACTGGAAACAATCAGGTAGCACAAGTATTATGACTTCACAGCCAATGTGAATACCCACAGGCCACAGCCATGTACACTCTGCATTGGAACTCCAGAGTGTTGAGACGAGTGGTATTGGATCAGCCATGTATAGAAAAAAAGCATGCGCCTTTATAGCGTTCACTGTTTCTTTGGGTACTCCCTCGGGCCAAATATGGTAGACCCAATTCTCACATTAGTACTACCCATCTCAATCTGCAAAATTTATACAACATAAGCATTTTCAGACCCTCATTCACAAAGATCATCACAGAATAAAATGGTAGATGGTGTTTTTTACCGCTAGCTCAAAGTCGCCAGACATTCCCATTGACAGTTCACATTGCTCCTCGGCAATTCCTAGTTCTTTGCAAACTGCACCTCGACAATTTGAAAGTGTCTGCAACATTTAGAGGGATCAGCTGTTGAGCAATCAATCTCAAGAAAACCAATTCACAAACAAGACATTATACTAGTAAAACAATAACCTCTTTCAAGCAAAAATAGTATTAAAGTAGGATATAACACAAGTTGAGAGAAGTTTTGAGTATCAAGATATGACATTTGATGCTTCACAACAAGTTAAACACAAGTTAATATGGAATATGCGGTTAAAGTAGAAACAACAAGACAGTTTATTATCACCTTGAAATTTTCCGGGGTAGAAGTGTAGTCTGGCATTCCTATTGTCATTAAGCCACGAAACTCAAGATTTGGACACCCCAACTTGACATGCTTCACAAGCTCTATACATGCCGGTGGATCAACTCCAGCTTTTGCTGTAGCAATATCAGAATAAATATGTCCTCCATGAGCAATTCCACTGTATAATGTATCATATTATCAGAAGTAGATTTAGCAACTAGAAAATCGTACAATTCAAATGGCAACAGGGAGATCATGTCCGAACGATAACTTGAGATTGATGCCCATACAAGTTAACAATTTACCACAGGACATGCAACTTTGAAATAATTCAATTTTTTTGCAAGAAATTGAAGAAACAGGTGTTGTTAACAAAATGGAAGAGAAAATCAGTGTAAAAGGTAAATGAGACAAAAATAATTAGTACGAGAACAGCAATCAGAGCTGTGAGCAGCTTCCCATTGAACACATCCTAATAACTGAATTTGTACCTTAGGATTGAATCCATTCTACATCACTGCCTTGGCAATCTTACCCTTCAACTTAGACGCAATTCAACAAATTAACTCATTAGAATGCAAAATTAGTTATGTAAAGTAATGTTGACCAGAAATATCTTAATTTTTTAATTTTTTTGTATGCACATGGAATATTTCAATGGAGCCAGAACCCTTCTTCCCCTAGGGGCCAAAAGGAAAAGTTCCCATTTAGCAATAGCAAGTGCACAATGGCAGATTGGACTGGGTCTTCCGACATATCTACTTTGTATAATTCTATCACTTCTATGTCCTCGTATTTCTTATCCTTTTGTAACAACCTGCTTTCTTACCTGCTCAAAGCTTCTTAAGAACATGCCATCAACACTCCATGCTAAAGTGCTAAACTGAGCGTTTTATGATAGCACAGAATATGATTAAAAAAAGAGAGTTCGCCAAGGAAGATGGATGGTAAGTGACATATGACATCCTAGCTCACCGCTAATCCCCATAAAGAATATTTTCTTTACACAAAAATTACACAAATATAAAATTTGAGAGCACTGTGCCACCACAACACCACAGAAGCAAACTATTAGTTAGGATCTACATCATCAAGAAAGTGTAAGAACCAGAAAGCAATGGATTCTAGTTCGGAAATAAGCCTCAGTATTTAGCATGACAGAAGTCTAAGAACAGAAGGCAACCTCTGTTCCTAATTTATTCTATACTCTACTTCTCAACCTAAATAGGCACACTATCACTGTATCACTGTATCACAGTACCACCTGCCTTTCTAACCTCTTGTTACTTATCTGATTATAGAGCATGAAAGTGACTATACAAACTAAGATATTTAAAACATTGAATTAAGATATTAAGGCTCCAAATCCCTGCCCGCATTCCCCCACCCCGCCCACCCCCTAAAAATATCCTGTTTTTAGACAAGTGGGTGTAAAGAAAGTTCTTTGCAACTCTGAAGTTGTATTTCAAATACTTACATGTTTCACCACTGGTATTCACTTGCACCAAGACCTTAAGAGGCTTTCTTCCTATAGCTGATACTGCACGATCAAGATGATTGGCTAGCTGTTTAGCATGGATAGTTCTTGGTCAGTTCAAGGATTTCACACAGAAAAGCAAACTGAATATAAAATATCTTTAATGAACATAAAAGAACCAGTTCAAATGATACAACAGCTATTTTATGATCTCAGTAAATAAACAAATCATACCTTCTGGCTATCTACACCCTCAACCATATCAAGATGTGGCACTGAAGCTGCGCAATAGAAAAATAGGGAAATGGTTGAGTGACTTGAGTCACATATTATAAAAGATTGGGATTTTCAGATGATCAGTAAAAGTAGAGCTAAGATGATTTCAAAACATTCTATGATTATGCACATTGCTAAAGACCATATTTTGTCAATTTTGTAATCATCCCGTCAATTGGACAAAACCCCTCTTTAAAACGGCTCGTTTATGAGTTTTAGATTGGTATTAAGAGGTACATTCAAATTTGCTTTGCAAATGCACCAGTTGTACACAAGGTTGCATTCTTCCTTTACCCTACTCTAATATGAACACCTGAGAAAAACTTGTAAATTATTTGAACATTTTACCATATCCATAAAAGTTTTTTTTTTTTTTTTTTTAAAAAAAAAAAAAAAAAAATCTTAAATTCGATCGCATCGATTAAATCAACCTTCACCAATCACCACCTCAGATTAGATTAGTATATCCTAATGATTGAACATAAATTTCATTTACACAATATTGCAGAATTAAAGGACAGGAAGTAAGGAACCAATAATTAGTAAGCTGAGTAGTAAGAGCAACTCCAATGGTTTTAGCTAGGGACTTGCTTACAATATTAAATAATTCCTAGCTACTAGCTTAACCATTGGAGCTAGAAAAAGCAATTAGCTTGGCCAAGAAAGTTAGCTTTGTCAAGCTAATTTGCTTGGAAAAAAAACTTGCTAAAATAAAACAAATTAGAATAAATAAAATGAAATTTATCGACGTAAATTAAGGACGTGTGGTCCATTTAAATAGTAAGCTATTAGCTAACCATTGGAGCTAAAATGATGATTAGCTAGCATCAAATAGAACACAATTAGCACTCAAATACATAATTTTCATTTCAAATAACAAATATTAATACTTAATCTAATCATTCCAGAAATACAACCATTTTTCAAGGAAATATTAGCATTTACTTTCTTAAGAATTTAATTTATTTACAATTAAAGTAAATACACTTGTAATTTCCTCAATTTTCCAAAATGAAAGAACTTACTCAGCAGAGATTTGACTTTATTAGTCTGCAAATGCCCAATAAAATGCCATTCGATATCCTCCGGCAACTGCAAACCCCCAAAAAAAAAAAGACAACATTTATCCAATTAATTTCTCAAACCCAATATAATTGTTCAAAAGGAGGAGAGAGAGAAACCTGGGGAGCTTTTTCAAGGAATTCTTGGACATAATTTTCACCGAAGCAACGGTGGCCGGCGTCGTAGAGTTGGCGGATGAAAGAGATTGGTTTAGTTTTGGACACCGCAACCACTCTTACTCCGCCGGGGTCACGCCCAACTTTCGCCGCCGATTGCCGGACGCGGCTCATCACTGATCTCAATGCCGTCACTGCTATACCCTCCATTGCCGGAGCTGCCATTTTTTTTTTTTTTAAATGGTGAGTAATATTTCTGGCTTGTAAATAGATGACTTGGAATTTGAGGAGCCCGAGATACTATTGCCTAGCATCTCCAATGGTGAGAGTTAAGGAAGGTTTTTTTTTTTTTTTTTTTTAAGAGAGAGAGAGAGAGTATTTTTATAAAGAATACCAATAAGTTGATATTTAAACTTAGCAATTTTAAAAGAAAGTTGTTAAGTTAAAACACTTAACTTAATTGCTAAGTTTAAATACTCAACTTTGAGTCATATTTGACAAAAAGTGTGGGCTCTTATCAATATTATAATATATTTTGTAATTTATTTAAGTTTTAATTTAATTTTTTTTTGAAAAACTTACAATATGGATTTGGTAGGCTATAAATTGAAAGTGACATTAGTAAACATCAGAGAGTCTCACCATTGAGAAATTAGACTTCACATGAGTTACTAAATTGAGAAGTGGGTTGGGTAGCATTATTGAAGGTTTAAAACAACTCATTTTGTACTTCAATACTCAAAGTTGAGTCTCAAAAATGGAGATGGTCTTATAATCTTATAATCGTACTCACAATCTAAAGACTTGGTTGACATTGTTTTTTGTTTTCAGAAAAAAAAAAAGGTATTTCTACTTTTCTGTTGTCAGTTTTTAAAATTGTTATGATTTTTTTTTTTTTTTTTTTTTTTTTTTTTTTTTACAATGGTAAGTGTTTAGGGGTTTTTTATGTGTCCTGAAGGAGAGTTACGATTCCAAGACTGAGCTGCCGGATGCCTGTACCTGCAAGATCACGAAGACTCCGGTTGGTAGGAGTTTCGCCTCCGACGATCAAGTTAGTATACGTACAGAAGGAAAAGAGTACGGAATAGGTAAAATGCTTCTCGCCGATTGGGAGAATTCCGCAATTAATATTGCTCGGTAATAGTGTTTGTATTTATGAATGAATCCATTAATGAGGTTTGCCTAGGGCTGGCAAACCCTGACCCGACACGAAAACCCGACCCGAACCCGACCCGAAGTTACTGAGAGAGACCCGAACCCGACCTGAACCGAACCCGAACAACCCGAATTCGACCCGATTTGACACAAATTTCATATTTCGTAATAATATTAAGTTTTACACTATTTATAATAGTTTCTAAGCATAACCCGAAATCGACCCGAAATCTGACCCGAACCCGACCTGCTGACCCGAATTGCCACCCCTAGGTTTGCCCCACTATTTATAGTAGGGCAGACAAGTTCCCCATGGAGGGTAACAAGGACACGTGTCAACAGGGGATTGGAGCCCTGTTGACTAATGGCGATGTGCCATGTGTCGCCAGCCCATTGGGCCACGTGGCTAGGGTAATTTTACCCTAAACAGTAAGAAAAAAAAGGAAAACATTAGAAAACCCTCCTCACGAAGAGAATTCCTAATGCGTCGGAAGAAACGATAGAAAATAGAGAAGAATTTTTACAAGGCACAATATCCATACTATCACTAACTAGGTGATCAACATTTGTTATCCACTCTATTGCTATCGTTCTAGAATAACCAATACAGTTAAATTTTACACACTTGTCAATTATTTTGAAACGAATGCAGAATTTTCTTTTGCAACTAAACCAAACGCTAGTTAATCTTTGTTAGATAACTAGTGGAAAGACACTAGTTACCAGTTTACCACATATGTGAGGATCGGGCACGCCTACAACTCTACAAGTGTGGCCAAAATACTAACAAATAAAATTGACAACACCACAACACTTACTAACTCAATTATACACCAAAAAGGCAAAAATACATTTCTTTTTATTTCCCTGGGTGGCCCTAGTGGGGATTTATGAATAATGTGGAGCTACTATTTTAGACAAAATTGATATAGATAAGATTGGTCCCAACATTAAATTAAAATTGAGGTATTACCTTCATAGGAGTACCTTTTTGCTCCTACATATCACATATGAGTCATATGACAACAAGTTGAACTTTTTGGACAATGAGAAATTGAAGTCATTCAATAGACTTGTTGAATTTGATCCAATAAGATATTGGATAAATTGTAAACATAGGTAGCTATTTTACCATGAGATGAATATGGAGCATCTCAAAAATGGAAATTTGAATTAAACATAATTGGTGTGTAATTTGGATTATGATGTTTTTTATAACCTTTTTTTTCTAAACATTTATTTTTAAGGGCAAATGGGAGAGCTTATTCATGAGAAATAAGAGAGTTTACACATATATTAACATGACAAGTACATTAACATAGAGTTCCATGCTCATCCCCTTGAAATTCAATCATTCATAACTTTTGTCAAACTTATTTTCAAGTTTACAGCTGATGGCAGGGAAATACAGGCATCAAAATCGCGCTATTTACACAAATCCTGTAAGCTGCAATCCTCCAAAATCTCCTCAGAACACGAGTTCCCATCCAAAGTATTCGTTTAAGCTATAACCAATAGTGCTTCATTTACAGATAAAGCAGCACACACTCTATAATCAGGAGTCCGACACTCCCATAAGCCTCAAAGCTTCAAGAAGTGTCTCCTTGAACCTATCTAGATTGATTCTAAAATTTTGTTCGTCGACATAGGCTTCCTTTACGGCCATATACCCTTTAGCCCAAATAGAAGCTGCATCCGATACAATTGGATGATCTGGACCATATTTTTCATAGAGTGAAGTCTCATTGCGCCAAACCTTGTATCTAATGTACTTCAGTCCAATGCCAGGGGCAGGCTCACCAAAGTAGTGATCGGAAGCCCAGTTTAGTCCCAAGGGAACGATCTGGATCATTGTTGCACCCGTGGGCAGAAACAAGGCATTCGTGAGGCCGGCTCCATGAGCCCCAACCATGATTTCACATGAGTTCACAATTTGGGCAAATTTGTCTAACTTTTTTGTTTCATTGGGCATGGCTCTATAAACTTGAAACCCTAATTCTTGTTCCATCATATTCACCATCTCATCTTCATTCAGAAATATTCTTGATCCTCGTCGAGAAACAAGCAGAACTTTTGGCCTTTTGAGATTTAATTTGGTTTTTACCTTCACATTGTAGGTATTCCACAGGAATTGTCTGACATCTTGCATTGTATATCCTAAAGGAGCATCGTCGCTGTTCACTGCAAGATTCTCATGATACCTACATAAATAAAATTGTATTGGTTATAATCCTTGGAAGTCTTGGTTCATAAGTACTCATGTCGAGTCTTGACACTTTAACTTAGCACATGGGTGCCAAACTGCCAACACTTAACACTATAATTTGGACCAAAAACACGGAAATTACACACAAAAAGGTCGGAGTCCAATGACAGGATGCATAATCGGACTACAGGACTAAACAGGAGAACCCAAGCTAAGTCCCGGTAACATAGCCTAAAACCGAAATTTGGGGGTTCCAACCATGATTTTCAAACAAGAATTGTAGTTATTGTAACCAGTACCTAACCAAAGGAGTCTATTAAGACCTTGAGTAATCGTAGTTTTAGCCATGTCTAGAGCAAGGTTCTAGGTTCGAAACTCTTCTTCTTAGTGCATTCAAAAAGTATGAATAAGGGTAATACCTGAGCCCAACAACACCAGCAGGAAAACAGTGAACTCTTTTAGTTGCATCCATACCAATATTCTCAAACAAGGTCAGCTCCTTTAAAACCTGAGTATATTTCCAATACCACCGCCCTCTGAAATCTGTTAGGACAAACTGCACCTTAGATTCAAAATGGCGGCTGGTGAGGAATAATGGGATTATGATCTCGTTGAAAGCATGAAACGGATTCTCTGCAAATCCCGCAAATGAATAGAATAAACCCGGTACATTATGTGTAATCTGACAAGCTGGAGGGTTGATACTGCTGTAATTTCCACGGATGATCTGCACTGGCGTGACCTGTTCCATGGCATACGGGTCTTCCCTTCTAGGATAAGGCCTAACCATCATTTTGGTAAGCTCATTTTCATCTTCAGAGGGTACATAAACAGTCATAGATTGTTCGTCGTATATAATTGGCTTGTTTATCACACATACTTCAGTAAAGTTATCAACATCATAAGCAAATCCTGTGGCTTCAAATTCGGCTACATCTTTCCCTGGTTGATCAACTAGTAGTTATTAAAATCCAGCTCCAAATAAGTTATTGACTAAACAAATTCTATATAACAGTTTGCTGAAATATTAACATAAGGAATATAAAAACAACTTAAGGCTTTGTTTTGCTCACCCTAAAATCAAGTACCGGAAAACACATAAGTTCATAATAGGGTTATCCTATCTTAATTCAGATAAGTTCAAATAAAGTTCGACAAATTAGAATGCACACAAGCATTCTTTTACGACAATGCAACCCAAATAGATAATTCGCAAGTATTATATTCAAATAATATGCAAGTTTGGCTTAGAAGGGAATATACAGTAAACAATAATGATTGTTGATTCAGAGATTATAATTCTAAAAATACAACCGGTAAGTGACAACTGACAACAAGTGTTCTATCAACAAAGAGAAGAAAATAAAAATAATAGCAGACGTGTGGACAAAAAAATACTTGAATTATGTACGAAAACTAACATGGACATGTTTAAAGCTGCTTAAAAAACTCCAATTACACTTAAATAATTGGATACTCTTTAACTAGGCATCTTGAAATAATCATTCTTTGGTAAATCTAGAATCAATCTATTTTTCTAATCAGAATATTATTATCTACTATTTTTTTTTGTTATTTTTTCGCCGTAATCCTCTCCCCGACAACTATACGATCATTAATTTTGAACACAACTGAGATATTTCATGAAACATTCTTCTTTATTTGCAGCAATAGTGTTTTACTAAAACTTTCATAAAATCTTAATTAAGGTTTAATTTGTGAAGTGTAATTTGCATATTTTTGACTAATTTGGATGGTAAAATCACAAGTTCACAACTTTAGATGAAATGATGAAAGTCTCGTGGTCCTTTTTTATGTAAACACTTTTTGACATAACTTTTGACAATTATTTAGGGATTTTGGGTAGATTGCTAAGTAGAGTAGTAGATTTCTCAAAAACATTTTATGGAATATTAAATTAGGAGATTAACATTTACTAGTCACACAAAGCACAACCACAAGTCCACAACCCATGTAAACCGATAAGGGGATCCCAACTCACAAGGAAACGCTAACCATTTAGAATGATACGGAGTAACGCACCAAAATTCCGAATTTCGAGGTGAAAGTTCTACCACTGAGCTCACTTTATACTCATACACTCAAAAGATTGAACTCAAATAGCAATCCATAATCAAATCCAATGCTTTACAAGAAATGATGAAAGTCTCTCAATAACAAATCAAAAAACATGATAAATGATGAAAACAAATGCAACATAATAACAAATGAATAATTACATGAAAACAGAGAAAGTAGTGATTAATACACTTACCTCTAACAAGTTTTCTGAGTTGCAAATGTAGCTTGTTTAAATCTACTTTTTCAACAAAAACCCCAATTTTCCTATTTCCAATAGTTTGTAACCCTTCATTTGCACAACAACACAAATAGTCATAATATTCAGTCCAAAATGAGCAATATAATCAAAAATCAATACTTTATAGAATGATATAATATAAAGTTTTACCTGAATATAATGGCTGTTGATGATGGATGAAGAAGAGCAGAAGAATGAAGATTGGAAGAGCAGAAAAAACTAGCAGTTTCCTGAAAATGGGCTCTTTTTTCTCCATTTCTTCTTCCTTTTCCCCTGATAATATGACTGCTATTAACAGTAGTAACCAGGGAAATGTTTGTTCAGTTGGGTTTTTGAAGCGTTTAGCTTTGCTTTTGTCTTCTTCTTTTGTCCAACTGTCGGCATAATATTTGTTGTATAGGGTACCTATTTACGGAGTATCTACGCATCCGGTAGTCGAGTCGAACTTACAATAACTTATTACTTATACTCGTGTTATCTTGTACTTTTAGTATGAAAAAAATACAAACCCTTGTATATAAATCATTGTAAATTTAATTTTTACGGCCATTAAAGTTAAAATAAAAGATCATTTCAAATAAGTTATTGTAAGTCCGAAAAATTATAATAAAGGATCATTTAAAGTAAGTTATTGTAAGTCCGGAAAGTTAAAATAAAAAATCATTTCAAGTAAGTTACTGTGAGTCCGGATCAAACGAGATTTTACTAATAAGATGTTTACGTGAAAGACTGTGCATAGTGAAGGTGGAGTCACTTTATTAAAGAAGTGGACCCCTTGATCTAATTAGCTGCTTTTAATAGGAGAAAAAGTAAGGTTAAACTGTTTATATCATTAGTTTAATATGACTGGGTTAACTGATAGTGGACGACATTAGTGGTTGGTAAGACTTGTTTATTCTCTTCACTATATGCTGTTCTCTGACATTTGTGTAGATTAAAAATAACAAAATAACGCTTATAAAATGTGAGTACTAATTAGCTAAGGCCTTGTTTGGTTGACATGAAAATTAAATTGTCATAGAAAATTGTATTTTATGGAAAGTTCTCATAGAAAATTGTATTTTATGGGAAGTTATTTATCTAATGAAATTCCTAAGAATTTCCTAAATTTGTTTGGTTGGCAACGTGGGAATTTATAAATCCCATGAATTTTAATTGACCTAGGGGGGTTAGGTAATTTAGTTCCCTTGTTTTGTGGGAAGTTGAAATTCCTATGAATTTCCACTTCCCTCATTTTTGCTTTTTTTTTGTGTCAAACAAACAATTTCTCAATTTATCAAATCTCACGAATTTCCACTTCTTCCATTTTACGTTGTCAAACAAACAAGGCCTAAGTTATAGATAATTTTATAAATTAGCTATTTTCCAAATGAGTATTTGAAAATTGTAACAATGTACCATTTTTACAGTTTTACATGCATTGAAAGCTTCATTGTAGATGTCAGTACATCATGCTAAGGTTATTGATTAAGAGGTTGGTGCTTGGTAGTAAGTTGTGGCCCATGCATAATTGCTTCCTTTGATGAACAGAGAAATCGAGATCGGTTGCCATCAATGAGATTCTATATATATCGATCTACTACTACTTCCCTCGCATTTTAATAGGTTACTTTTGAATTCTGATCAACGACCTAGACAATATTTAAACTTCACGCTTTCATATTTCGATATTTATACATGAAGCACTTGGGTGTAGGGGAGAGAGGTTAAGGAGATCTTCATGTTTTGATATTTAGGCCCTGTTCTTTAGAGCGGTTTTGCTATGCTCTGCTCTGCTTAATAATAATATTCAATAATAATAATAATAATAATAATTAATATTTAATAATAATAATATTAATAATAATGATGCTGTAATAATAATAATAATAATAATAATAATAATAATAATAATAATAATAATAATAATAATAATGGTGAAGCGGGACAAGTATGGGGCGCGTTGCTGGGCTTATGATTTTCTTCCTTTTTCCTTTTCTTCATTGGGGGAATTAGAGAAGGATGTTATTGCGCTGCTGAAGCGGGTTCAGGCGTTCGCTAGGACTCTGGATATCGGTGCTCGTGCAGCTGCTCACATCTTCAGCAGGATCAGGTTCGCTATAGCTAGAGGGGTGGGAGCCCAAATTGTATCTCGGCTCTCCGCTAATTTCTTGTAAATCGATTGACTTTGTTGGTTTTTGTTATTTTTCTATAATAATAATAATAATAATAATAATGCGATAATAATAATAATAATAATAATAATAATAATAATAATAATAATAATAATAATAATAATAATAATAATAATGCTGAAATCTGCTCTGCTGAAATTTGCTCTGCTCTACTGACCCCTACTCCTCTGCCCAAAAGCTCAAAAAAACAGGGCCTTAATGACATGAAAATGTCACTTTTAACCCTAAATATGCTTTACAAGTCAATCATAAAGATTAACTTGTATTTCCTCATTTACAAACACTCTTATTTGACAACTCAAAAAACAACTGAAAAAGAAAAAAAAGTTACTACAACAAAACATATAGAAAATCTCTACAAATTTCTAGATAAGATTATCTAATTATCATAGGAACACCTTGTAGGTTTAGGACTAAGGAAGAGAAAAACTAAGATATATAGTGTCACATGCTTGCAAACTTGCAGTGCTAATAAAATTGGACTTTATGATAGTAAGATGGTCTTACACAAATGTTTCTCATTAATTTGCATCGAGACTTTGTTTGACAATCCATTTTTAATAAAAGTTAAGATGTTGAATTATTAAGACACCTTCAATAGTTAGTCTTTTTTCACCCCTAGTCCTCCATAAACAAATTAAATAACTAGGGTTCGTTTGGTATCGTTGTGGTTTTCTGTTTTTTGGTTTTTTGTTTTTCAAAATCATATGATACATGTTATATAATGAATTAAAAAATAGTCAAATTTATTTATATCATGATAATTTTAAAAACTGACAACAAAAAAGTGGAAATACCTTTTTCTTGTTTTCTGTTTTTGGTTTTTTATTTAAAAAAAAATAATGAAAATTGAAAACAAAAAACAAAAAACGATGCCAAACAAATAATTATCACACCAAATAACTCATTCAATCAGATACCCTATCTTATTATCAGTTTCTCTACTAATTTATAATTTTAATTGAATTATTTATTTTAGCTCCATTTCATTTAGTGCTGCCAAATAGGAGTATAGTATTATATTTTTGATACTCATAACCACAATTGATTTTTAATGTTTTATTTATTGAAAACATAGTTTTAGCACCTACAATGATTTGATTTACTATTAATGTTACTTATAGCATAATTACATATATATAAATACTATAGTAATAGTCTACCAAAAAAAGAAGTTTAAATTATACTCCTTTGATTTCTTTGCGTTATATGGTACATAAGTTTTTTGTATGGTTCACTTAACATCAAATTATTTACAATATTTTATCCAGTAAAGTGGGGCTATAAATAGTATTGCAAAAAACATTATTGATTTGGAACTTTTGTTTGCTGTTTTATTATATTCCCGAATCGGTTTCTCGATCTTTTGATAGTTGGATTTTGTTTGATAGTTAGCTCCTTTGATATGTCATCTTTCTCAAACAGGTATCTCTAATAATATTAGTTTTCCATTTGCTGTCGAAATTGTCGTCATTCAGTCCAATATGAAAGCTAAGTCTTGATAAAATCTTAGAGACTTTTTATTGCCGTAGGAATGTTGGATGAGGAGACCAAATAATGACCTATAGCAGGTTAAACTCGTATGCGTCTACCAACATATTATCAACTGGTTAAGAGGGAGTTATTGTAACTTCACTAGAAGTTTCGAATTTAATAATACATAGTCATTCCATTCTTTTTATGTACGTCTCTTCCACTTATTGTTTATGTGATCAAATTTTATAATTTTCAAGTATCTTTGATAATTTATTATTATGTTAAATTGTCTTAATGTATATTTTTATATTTTCAGTTTTTTATAAGTTTGTAATAGTAACTACGGTAACTTTTTATTTACAAAAAGGTTTACTTTAAGAATTGAAAAATAGTCTAGTACGTGGTCTTACCATAACCAATAACACATGTAATTTTGGTTTAAAGCTTTGTTCTATTGGACAAATTTATTTTGAGACACAAATTCAAATAATGGATTGCTAAATACCGCCATCAAATATTATCAAACCACCATCATTTTAAGTAAAAGGACTTTCTTGCCCTTAATAAAAATTTACCCAATTTTTTACTTTTATTTTTCTAACTTTAATCCATCCACTACAACCACCGCGTCAACCACCTAGATTGGACCACCACCACGAACAGAAAAGTCAACGAAACTAGATGATAATCACGGTGGCTCATCGGAAAACCAACCACAATCTCCACCGTCAGCTTTTGAACAAGTACGATTTTGATATTTAACGTTGAATTTTGACGCGAAAAATGACTTTTGACGATGGTCAACCGGTGACCAAAATCGGTAAACCGTCACGGCAACCTATTTTGGGCGCCGATTGACCGTTACGGTTACCGATTATGAGCGCCGGTACCGTGGTCAATTTATAATTATGAACAATATCAATTAATAATTATTATAATTTTAAAAATAATAACATAATAATAATTTTTACAAAAAATAAAAATAAAAAAAAGGGTGGCTGGTAACAACCGGCGTAGAAAACTGGTAAACTGGTTTACCGCCGCCGTTAACCGGTTTTGATCATCAGTTACCGGTGACGGTTAACCGAAATTCCACGCTGATTAACGGCTACGGTTTATCGGTTTTCCACGCCGTTTACGAGCCGTCAAATATTTTTTTAAAAAAAAGCAAAAAAAAAAACTAACCATTAAAACTGGTGGCTGGTAACTAACCGGCGTGGTAAACCGGTTGACCGCCACTGTTAACTAGTTTCGATCGCCGATTACCGGTGCCGGCCAACCGGTTTTCCACGCCGGTTACCAGCCATCGAATTTTAAAAAAAAAATCCGTCAAAACTAACCTCCTTTGTCGGTTTTTCGGCCATTACACCACCAGACCACCGCCGCCTGTACGATCCACCGCCACCTACCGCCGCTTGCCTTGTGATTGTGGTGGTTGTGGGGAAAGAAAGTGGTGGTTGTGGTGTTTGATTAGAGAGGACAAAAATAAAAGGAATAAAAAAATTGATTAGGGTTTAGTAAGGGCAATAACGATATTTTGCTTGAAATAAAGGCGGTTTTGATCATTTTGGATGGCTATATTAACACCCTCCATTTGAATAATGGAGAATTGCAGAGTTACGTATGTTTACTCAAGTTTGTTACAATAGGTGAGGTGTCCGCGAGACACAAATCTGAATAATGCATAATCACAGATTCACAGAGTCACGTATGTTCGTTCAAGTTTGTTACAATATGTGAGGTATCCAAATAAAAGCTAAACATGTTCATTCACTTTCTCTTGAGATTTGCCGCCTTAAATTGCTGAAAATGTGGCTTTTTCCCTTTCTTTTCTCCCTTTTATTTAAAGTACAATGCTCAACCATTACGGTCAAATCTTGTCCACCACCCTTTGTTGGTAATTAGGCCAATACTCATTTCTTTTAAGGTCTCTGCCAATTGCCACCAATGTCTCCATTAATTGTGTTGCACCAAAATTTCTCTAAGGCTTATAACATGTTTATAATACAAAACCGATTTGTATGTTAGCAAAATACCCTTATTAAGGATGAGTAATGGAAGATGATAAGTTCACTACAGAGTGCAATATAGAGTATTAAGTAATAAAATCAATATTATCTTTAATTATGAGAATTTAGAGACAATGTGATATCTAAATTCGGAAACACAAACAACACGAGTAGTATTTACATTTCCTCTCATTACTCATAAACCCTTCTATCCTAATTTCACCAATATATTAATATCCTAAAAACTTCAAAGCTTCATTGAGAGTACCTTTAAATCTTGCAATATCAATGGTGACATTTTGTCCGTCAATATATAGTGACCTAGCGGACCTATACCCTTGCTCAAAGACAACCAATGGATCAAAAACAATGGGATCATCTGGACCGTACACGTCATATAAAGAGCTCTCTTTAGCTACAATCTTATAATCCATGTACTTCAGCCCCATAATATGGGCCGGGTTACCATAGTAGATATCGGAGGCCCAATTAAGGGCTAATGGTACAATTTGGACCACAACAGCCCCATCACGAAGAAACACTTCATTTGTAAGCCCAGCACCATGGGCCCCTAATATGATGTCACATGAATTCACAACTTCTGCAAACTTGTCCAAATACAGCATTTCATGGGCCTTGGCCCAGTGGATCTCAAAGCCCAAACTTAACATCATTTTCACCATTTCATCTTCGTTAAGAAGTACTCTTGTTTCTTTGCGTGATATGAAGAGTATTTTGGGCTTCTTGTTGGGCTTCATTAGGCCCTTCATGGTTAAGTTGTATGATTTCCCAAGGAATTGCCTGAAATCTGCCATTGTATAGTCTCCTGGAATTTCTGAGCTGTTTAGTGCTAGATTATCATGGTACCTATAATAAAATATATAAACATGTTTAGTTGAGCATCTAATCTCATGTTACAATAAGATTCATCAAATAAACAATTTGTTTGAATCTTGATTTGTTTTAGAGCGAAATCAACATGTGAAATAAGAATTATTTAATATATGGCTAGTTAAACAAAACTCTCAACGACATAGTTAGCTACAAAACACTAAAATGAAATGAATCTAACAATACATGTATCAAAAATGAAATTAGCGAAAAAAAATAGTCATTTTAGTGTAATGAGCATCAATTCCCTAAATTGAATATTTTCTAAAGTCTTACACTAAACAAGTTAGACAACTAACATCAGACGAATCTACCAATATGCCTTTAATGGACAAAATAATGCGTTGATATTTGATATGAACAAAACGAAAGTAAGAGAATGCATGATATACAATATATTCACATCTTATACTTATTACTCGTAATTGCCTAACTGCTAGACAAGTAACCCGACACTTGATGTTACGAGTGTTAATATATTTACCTGAGACCAAAAACAGCACCGTGAAAGCAATGAACTCTTCCATCTTCATCACCATTTATAACTTCAAAAGATGACAATTGCTTCAAAACTTCCTTGTACTTAAAAACCCACCAATCTGCATAATCCGTGATTATAAATTGCACTTGAGAATTAAAATGCCGAGAAGTGAGAAATAATGGGATTATAATCTCATTAATCTCATGAAATACATTTCCTATAAATCCACCAGTTGAGAATATTATTGCTGGAACTTGATGTGTAACCTCACAATATGAAGATGCATTTTTTCTTTGTGTTATATTAGTCCCATGAAGTATTTGTATTGGTGTGACTTCTTTCATGGCCGTCGGATCTTCCCTTCTTGCATATGGCTGAACCGTCCGTTTCTCTGATGGTTGATCGGACGGTACGTACACAACCAAGGGTTGGTTGGTTGGTATAATCACTTGTTTGTTGATGATGCATTGTTCAAAGTGAAATTCATAGAGGCATGAAATTCCGGTAGCATCTAGTTGAGCTAGATCTTTCCCTGGTTTTATTACATGTTCGAAAAGTCAATTCGGTGTTAGATTAATACTCCCTCTATTTCACTTAAGTGTTCGACTGCCCATAAGGTTATGTAAACATATTATAAACAAACTCACCAAGTTAAATGGACACATATATAATATTGCTGAAAGTGATGGATAACCCAATTGGTTAGAACTTTCTTACCGGTTTCATCCAATGTGACTCTCCAAACACCGAAAAATATATATAACATTACTATAATTGCTACATGTATTAAACAAGTGAGTGACAATGCATTGATATTTTAATTCATAGGTAATAATGATGATCAATCAATAATTTGCAACACAATACACAAGATTAATTGTAAAGATACCTAATGCTCTTAAAATGATTTATGTTGAACTGAATTGATTGTTACTATGATCAAAACTGATTTTAATTTTATTGATCAAAGCTGTTTCGGGGTTTTCTGATGTCCTGCGGGAGAGCTACAATTCCGAGACTGGAACCGGACGCCTGTACCTGCAAAATAACGGAGACTCCTGAGAGCTCCGCCTCCAACGGTCAAGTTAGTACCTGATTAAGGAGTAATTAATACAGAAATTAAAGTAATAAGGTCTCTCTAGGTGAGAGTATTTAATGTAGGTAATCTGCCTTGCTAGCGAGATCAGCCGGTTATTAGTGTGTTCCGTAATGTTTCTCCTCCGTTCCGTTAATTATTCGGTCCCTTGATTAATGAGGATTAATCGAGTATTTATAGCCTTGGGAAGCGTGCAACTCTCTAGGTTTAAGGTAAACCTAGGGCCGAACGGGCTTCTAGACTGAAATGGGCCTTGATGGCCGGTTGTCCCATTTGGCATGGGTGGACACGTGGCGTGTCTTAAGTGGTCCGTGGAGGACGCGTGGCGGAACCTGGTTGGTCCACTTGTCAAACGGCGCTTGGTGGATAAAAATCCCCTAATCATTTGCCCCTCACAGGTGGCACGCGACTGGTCACGTGTCGCCTGTGACAGGTGTCGCACGGTGACAGGCGACGGCCCGTTACAGGTGTCACCTTGCAGACGGCCGGGAGACTCTCCCGCCCAAATTTGAATTCGGAGGCGACCCTTCGCCTTCTCATTTTGCCTATAAAAGGAAGTGCTGACTTCGGTCATTTTCACATTTGAGAATTTTTGCGAGAACATTCGGACCCCTGAACTTGCTCTGACATTTTCGGACTTTTTCTGCCTACCGCCTGTTCTGACAAGCCGACTGACCCGAACTTTCAGGACTTCATCAACTGTCATCCGTTCAGGTAACTCAGTTCTCTTACTCTTAATTTTCTTTTTATTTTTTGAAATGGCACCATGGAAGCACACGACACGCCCTAAGTTAGTGATCAGCCGGTCACCGGGGACGGCTGAATCTAGGACTAGGAGTGCCGCCTGCCCTTTTCTGGACCCATCTTTGCCCTTTATACAAAGTCCGACTGAATCTGTGTCTATGCAGAACGTGATGGCCAGAACAAAAAAGACTGCTAGAATATCAAACTCAGACGGCTCCTCCCAAAGGGTACTCCTTAGCGAAACATCTGACCAGGCGCCAGATGTGGAACGAGGCAACTGTCAAGCTGACAGTTCTGAGAGAGGGACCAAGGTGTTCCCTTCTCATCTAACCGTGGACATGTCTAATTTACCTTCTGCTCCTTCTAAGGGAGAGGAGGCGGGCCCCTCTAGGAGAGGGGAGGAGTCGTCCTCTTCGGACTCGTCAGGGGACGAGTCCGATTCCAGCTCTTCTGACCATAGTTCTTCTGACCATAGTTCTTCTGACTCAGAAGAAAAACATAACCGCCTACAAGAGGCGAGAAGTTCCCATGCAGTGGAGAAGGGGGATAATTGGGCAGAGCCGTCCGCCTCTTACAGAGAGGAAAACACCCCCTACTACTGCAGGGTGCCCCGGGGCCGGATCGCAACCATGCGAGACAACGTGGCGAGCTTTATTGCTAACCACAAAATGAGCCCGGAGTATTTACTGTTTGTGCCGGATCCAGAAGATACTGTCGTCTGGCCGGCTGGTACCAGCTATGGTGACGGCTGTTTTGGCTGCTATGTGGCGGCCATCAAAGCTGGTCTGCGCTTCCCATTACATCCGGCTGTTCAGCGGATTTTAGATGGGTATGATCTGGGGTTATGGCAGTTAGCCCCCAACTCTTGGGTAAACGTACTCGGCTATGTGGCCGGGTGCGAACTGAACGGGGTGGAGCCAAGTTTTGAGGCTTTCGCCCACATGAACTATCTCAGCCGGACCCCTAAGTCGGGAGGTACCGGCTGGTATCAACTAACAAGCCACAGGGGTTACCTCATGACGAGAGGTAAGGCAAACAAATGGAAGGATTGGCGGAACACCTTCCTTATTATCGAGAGTTCAGACACGGAGCTGAACAAACGTTTTAACAAGTGGAACAGGGATCCGCCTCTTCTTGCAGGCGGCCGCAGCATGCCGCCTGTTCCCCCAAAGGCTAAAAGAGAGATCCTAGACAAAGGACTCTTCAAAGTAGAGACTAGGGTGAACTCTACTTCAGGGGTACGAGAGCAAGTACCCCTACACTGCGTCCCGAGCTTCAAGTGGCTCTATGATGAGTACTTCTTGGCCGCCTGTGGCCTCGGCAGTCGGTGCTCTAGAGGTAGCCGGCCTGACGAATACTCTGTTTTTTCACGCCTTGTTTACTTGGGATTTTTACTAACTTTGCTGTTTATTTCTTTCAGCCGACGCCATGAGTAAAATAACAGCATCTAAGACTGCGGCGGCCATGCTGCGGGTTTCGCTAATGAAGCAGTCGTACGCCGACTCCCCCAGCAAGGAGGCACCCTTGGTAAGCTTTGAAAACTCTTCCCCTTTAAGTTGTATTATGCATATACTAACTCTTTTTGTTTTCAGTCTGGCACTCCAAGGGCTTTTTCCTCGCAACAGCCGGACCCCAAGGCCCGGAGAACGACTGTTGCAAGCTCTCCTGGGTCTTCCAGGAAAACAGTGGCGGCTGAGAAGCAGCCGGCCACTTCTTCAAAAACCCAGGCGGGGCCGCCTAGATGTATGGACACTTGCTTGTAAAAACTCACTCTTGCTTCCTTCTTGATTAGGTCTAACTTGTTTTTCCTTCTGCTTAATGCAGCCGGCCCCCAGGGACTTGACTTGGTTGAGGTAGCCAAGTCAATGGTTAAAGTAGTTCCTCCCTCTGACAGGGAGGCGGTCAAGGGTGCCGGCACCCTTGACCTCGATGGAATTTCGGGGATCCTAGCTGAGGTATACCCTTTTGAAGTTCCAGGACGCCTGTTAACCCTTATGATTGGAAACTGACGCCTGTTTTTCTTTGTACTTAGGCCCTGCTCCGAGTCAACAGCCTTCGCAAGCCGATTGATCGGAAAAACAAAGAGGTAAAGGCCGCAAAGGCTATGGCCGCCTCCAGCTGTGATAAAGCAATGTTTCAAATTGCCCAAAATGAAGTACTGACCATTGATCTTCTTTATTATCAGGCGCAGGCGACCGCCGCTGTTCGGGCTCAGCTAGAGGCGGCCCAAAAGAAGGTTGACGAGCTGGAGGGGACCGTCACCAAATTTAAAGCCGAGCTGAAACCCCTTCGCCAGAAAATGCACTCTTACGAAGCCATGGAGAAATCTTTGGCTAACGTAAAAGAACGCCTGGTGAACCAGGAGAAGAGTCTTACCCAAGAGCTCTCGGACAAGGCCGAGCAAGAAAAACAAGAGCTCGTCCGGGAGATGGTGGAAGACTCCGCCCAAATCCAACGCATGACCTGGGAACGACTGTTCCCCAGTGCCGACTTTGCCTCATGGGAAAGAACGTACCGCCAGTGTTCGGAAATATATAATCAACAGATCCTGGCGGCTGCTGAAGAAGAGGCGATGGACGTTGCGTTGGAGGAGGAAGAGCCTGTTGTGGCGCTTGTGCCACTTGGGGGAAAGGCATCAAAAGATGATGCAGCGAAGGCCGAGTCCAGCAAGAAGAGTGCTGACCAGGCGGCTGCTGCTGATACTGAACTGCCCCCTTCTTAAGCTTTAAGTATATTTTTTCTTTTCACGGCCTGCGTGCCGTTTGCTTTGTAATTACCCGGCCAGGGGGCCAGGGTTTTGAATATTCTGCTGGTCTTTTATGGCCGGCTCATTTTAATCAAATTTTTTGTTTTTGTTCAAATTTGTCTAAGTATTTGAAATTTGCTCACTAGACAGACTGTTGTGTATGGCCGAACGTTAAGACAGGTACAAATAGTAAGTATGCCGCCTATGCCCCTGGACGACTGGTTGTCTGTTTCCAGGATAGATGATCAGTCGGCCATTTAATCAATCGGTATTCGAACTCTTTATTCAATTTGACCAAGTAATTAGAATTACCAAGTAGCCAAGGAATTTAAGTAGGAAAACAAGCGGCGGGTACCGGTTGTTTCCCTTTATTGCCAATGTTGGCCTCTAATTTGTTATTTGTTAACCTAGCAAGAGTATTGGTTGAGAGCCTTTGTTTATTAAAAACAAGTGGACGACTCGTACCTTTTAGGCTCAGTACTAAGTTTGAGTGACTATTAAGTTAACATAGGAGTTACTTAGTCTTCGTCACAATCTTGATTGAGTAGTAAAGGTATCAGGCGGCGTAGGCCGGCTAGACCCCTTGATTTACCAATGTTTGTTGGCTATTTACTCAATAGGTTATCCAGTAGGAATAGGGGTTCGAGTGCCCTTGTTTGTATAAAATAGGCGGACGACTCAAACTTTTTAGGTTCCATACCAAATTTGAAGGAGTGACTATGAGTTAACTTTGGAGTTACTCAGTCGCCGTCACTTTTGTTTGAGAAGTAGAGGTACCAGGTGGCGTAGGCCGGCTAGACCCCTTGATTCGCCAATGTTTGTTGGCTATTAACTCAATAGGTACCCCCTGCATTTATCCCAAGTAATACAGGCGGTCATCTGACTCAGATGTCAACTGCTACCACTGGTTTGGTTAGTGATAGAGTTATCCTTGTCTCAAAAACGG